AACAGACAAAAGGAGCAGGGCAGCACTACCTCCGTACTACCACCCCGCTCCTGAGCAGGAGCACTGGGAGCTGGGTGATGCACAACGGGTGCCAGCAGAAGCAAGATAATGGCTACCTGAAATGCCACAGGTAAATCCATATACAAATGATGTTTTGTTGATTGCAAACACAATCCTATTCAGGTCAAAAAGCATTTTACATGCAGCAGACTTCAATGTCTGACTACATTCTACTTATTTAAAACAGCTTCTGCCAGTCATGGAGGAATTAAAAGGAAGGCATCTGCTGGCACTCTGGTACTCATTCTCTCTGAAGCAGCAAGAATATTATTTGAGTGTTATCATTGGCAACATTTCAAATCCATTCACTGCCAGATTTTTAAAAATGCCATGTATAATTAAATATCTCCCTTCCATGGCCACCACATCAGACACAGAGGGGGAGCAGTGCAGCCAGATTTCAGTCCCTGAACAAGGGGTCACTGGCAGGCACAGTTCACTAAACCTGCTTTTTGAAAAATCAGAATAAACCTAAACATTATTCCTTTTCTTACCTTTCAGAGTTCACTTCAGTCTCTCCACTCATCATCTGGTATTATTCAGACTCGCTTATTGCAGGCGTATTAATGCTTGATCAATGCACGTTCCGTAAGGTTTTAATTTTAATAGCATGATATGCACAGTATCTTAAGTTCTACCTTATAGCTCTTGTGGCTGTTATAAAAAGAATTTTGATCTCATTTGCTTTTGAAATGCAAAATACTTTTTCAGCTTCTTCCATAAAATTATTTCAGTGCACTTGAAATTTTCATTACATTTGTGAAGGATTCCTCTAGTTAAATTTTAATTGAATTTTCATAGAGTATTCTTTACCTTATACTTTAGTTATACATACAGCTTCAACAAACTTTTCTTCTTATAGTTCCTTGTTCATGTTTTTAATTCTCTCAAAGCCACTTACATGTTTGCCAAAATTTAATACTAATTGGCAAATGAGATTATAAACTGGTTAATTTAAAACAGAAGTTCTAACTGAATTTCTGTGAGCAACCAAAAAGAAAGAGGGGCATTAGGTTTTGATTGTAAATCACTGCAGGAATGCTTTAAGAGGTTTGCGGTACTGCCCCTACTCCTATCATCTCACAACACTGTAAGCCACCTGAACTCCCCTGAGCCCCAGTGAACTGAGCAGCAGGTGAGAGTCTCCACCACAGCAGGATTCTCTACAGTGGTTTAATCAAAATCCAAGAACAAACCATAATGAACGTGATCAGCTCTGAATAACAAATGTTTTGGCCTGATATTTTAAGGGAAGTCCATGAGATACATGGCCTCTGACATACAGAAAGCATCAGGTGGGCCAAGGCAGACTGTTGCTTTATTACTGGCAAGAAGGCAGAGGTGCAGGAACCATTACAAAAGCAAACAGATTTCTGTTCTGCTCTAAGTATGTCACAAAATGCAATGTTGTGGACTGATGACATGTCAGTAATAATGTTAAACAAAGCCATTTGAAGTGTTAAAATGATGTTTAAGAATTACATTTATGACAAATCATTGTGCTTAAAAACACTGAATAGAATCAGGGCACTGCTGTGCCAGCCTGCCATTGCCCAAAAATATCAGTAGAGAATTCATACACAGAACTGCACAAAGCCTAAACAAGAGGCAGGATTTCCCAAACAGAAAGCAGCAACTTAGATGTAGAGATGGCTGCACTGCAGCTGAGATGCCAGGTGCCTATGCACTGAATCATGTAACTATCTACATTCCCCAAGAAAAGTTTTGTGCTAGTGCCATGAGTCCAAGACTTCTGTTTTAGTTCACAGTGTGGGTATGCAGCAAGCTGATTAAAGCAAGCAGTGAGCAGCAGTGCTGATCTCCTCTCAGCCACAGCGATTTCCCATTCTATTGTCTGCTTCTGGAACAGCAAAGACAGAAAAGCCTTCTTCATTTCCAATACGGCATAGCAGTTACAAGCAGGGTTGCCCCACAGATAGCTGATACAAAAGTATACCTTTTTTCGACTAAGGCACAAATCAACATAACTTATTGATCCCGCACATTAGTGCATGTAGGGAATTAAACCAGGTGAGAACAGACCAATGCCAGAGGAGCCTCATGCTTCCTCACACATTGCACCTCAGGCTCCTGTCACAGTAGCTTTTCTTCCTTTTCCACACTTCTCACACCCATCTCCACCAAAACCAGTGCAATCTGTCTTTATCCAAAGGAACGGATCCAGCTTAAAGTAGATGCGTAAAGATGTTACAAAAATGGACAGATTGTATTAATATTTCCTACATAACAGGAAAGTCCTTTTAAAGCATCTTTTAGATTCCTCCTTTCATGGAGGAAAGTCATCCTTAACACAAGTAGCTGAACATGCTAGTCACACCCTGGACTGATGATGATTCATTGCACATATAACACCTGGGCAGAGAAGAATTAGCAGCACCACCATCAAAAACCTGTATGCTGGTATTTCCCTTCCTCTTTAGGAAAGCTGCTGAGAGCATCAGGAAGAGTGAAGACTCCAAGTTACTTGCTCCTACTCCAGCTTCAAGGCTTAGCATAAGCATATAGCTAAGTAAATCAACTGTCTTTAATAGCCCAGAAACTTGAACAAAGCACTGCATTGATCTCACAAATAACTAAATATACTGTGAACCACTTAAGTGAAAACACACAAGCTTGAGAGTTCAAGCCATTGCAAAGGTGAATTCTCAATTTCCTGGAGGAAAAAAAAAAATCTCAGCTACAGGACAGCTGGATGGCCTAATTACAGCTGTATAAGCACTCATTTCAGACCAGGCTTCCAGCTCTCACATGCTACTGTGAAACCATCAGCACTTTCAGGAGAAAAGCTGAAGCCCACTGCCTCCAGTATGCCAGGTCATTCAAAATGAATGAAGCACAGCTGTCTTTCCATCAATTTGCAGGAAGGTGGGTTCACAAATCTAATCTTTCCCTGCAGACCCATAGCAAAAGAAGCATAACCATTTCTGTGATGGACAAATAGAAGAATTAATAAGATTATTAATAAGATTTAGCAGCCAGCCACAAAATGGGCAATGTGTTACAGTTGCCTGTCTGTCAAATTAAAAGACAAGACTTATGCTTCAAGTGTCACAACTTTGTTAGAAAAAGATGGAAGTTATTCAGTAAGCACACGAAAAGAAATTCCAACATACTCTTCTTACCTTTCCCACTTTTGTATCCTTCACACACTAAGGTAGGCAAAATAAGATTCACCACAATAACAAAAAAATTGCCCCACAGCAACTTAGGTAAAAAAAAAATCAGAATAAAAATCAAAGGATAGCCCTCCCCTCTGCCTCATTTTCTAAATCCTAATGCAAAGCTAAAATGAGTCTGCACTGCCCATTTCCCTCCTCTGTCCCTTCCTGGGAGAAGGGTTACCCAGGGAACCCCCCTGCTCCACTGACAGGCAGGTCTCCATTACAGTGTAAATCCCTGGTGACTTCACAGCAGATGTACCAGTGGAAAATTAATGCAAACAAAAGGATCTCTCCTCAGATTTCATTCCAACTTCCAGTTTCACACAAACCAGTAACACTGCTAGTATTAAAGACAGGGGAAAAAAGTTACTACAGACTCTTCGGCACATGAAATCAATACACCACAGTTAGTGAGTAATAACAACCTGTGTGTCTTTCCCCAGCCTCACCTTAATTAACAGAGGACAAAGGATGAGTGGCTACAGAGAGGGCCAGATTCGGAGCTTTTCCCAAAGAGCTGCCCACCTCTGAATGCAATTACCTTCCTCCACAATCAGTTTGTGATAAGTTTTATATCAAGTTGGTTTTGTGTGTTCTCCCCCCTCATTTTTATTTTGTTTCAAGTACGGGGTATATTTAAGTGCAAGTACCTAGATCAGCAAATTCTACCATTTCCCCATAGACACATCAGGCTACCTATGAGGGCACAGAAGTGACACAGACTTGTGCAAAGGACGTTCTGGGAGTGAGGCACCTTGAGAATTCCACTGACACCCAGCTCTGAAACATCAAAAGATCTGCATGCAGTGCATATGGTGTCTGCACTGGAACAGGCTCCCCAGATAAGTGGCCACAGCACCGAGCCTGCCAGAGTTAAGCGTTTGGACGATGCTCTCAGACATATGGTCTGACTTTTGGGTGGTCCAGTGTTGAGCAAGCCAGGAGCTGGACTTGATGATCCTTGTGGGTCCCTTCCAACTCAGGATATTCTTTGGTTCTGCACAGGGCAAGTGCCACTCATGCTCACAGACATATGCTTGTGAAGGACCAGACTACAAGATGATAGATACACTTAGTTTCCTTTTAAGCAAATCTATGTCTGTGAAATTATACATAGGGTAGGCGTGGTCTTTTCATACTTGAATATTTGGTACAATCTTCCTTATTCTATCACCAAGTCTGAGTGCATACTTGGTGTTTCTTTAATTTTTATTTTAATTGGAATTGCCTGAGCTTTTCCAGCAGTTGGACTGCATGCAAATCAAAACAGATTGTTTGTTTTTAAAGAAAGTCTAACTCTCATGGCCAGAGAATTAGCAGTCTCCAGACTCCGGCATACCATAAAGTCTCAAAGACCAGAAAACCCATCAAAACCTTCAATTATTTTATTTTTTTTGTAAGTCATATGATTTTAAATACAGATTACTTACACTGCTGGGCAACACAGAATGCTGTAGCAGAGTCAAAACTCTATTTAAAAAAATATCACCAGTCATGAATGTTTACAGAGGAACTGGCAATCCAAGTGCAGTACTTTTCTATGAAAGTGGTAATTTAGCAGGTCTGTGCATGTGCGTCAATTCACCTGCTTGTTTTCAATTGGCGTTGGTCATTCTTCTGTTAAAGCACCATGAAGACCAACCCCACAAAGTTCTGACACCACATATAGCCTTGGTCAATCAGAAATTGACTCCTGTTACCCAGTGCAAGAACATGGCCCCCACCTAAGTGAGAGCTATATGAAGGTAATGAAAGTACCTTCTAAGAGGTTCCCCTTGGAGGTGTCCCACGTCAGGCAGTGCATGCAGCACAAGCAGCCTCCAGATTCGTTATCTGAAACCTTGAAGCACATGGAAAACGCCACAATTCCACACAGCAATAAAGAGGCACCATCATTCCTGTTGCTTATCTGCAGGAATCTCCTGGGAGTGCTTCTTCCTGCATAAACTGTACTTACAGAGGCTGAATCAGAAAATTCCATGTTATATTTCATCGTGTTAAGTGTCTATGTTACTTTCAATCCTTTCCCCTCACAAGAGATCTGAGAGAATATGTGGAAACAGAATAAGCACAGAAGTAAATACGGGCTCCCCTTTAAATGTAGTGGGCTTGTTTCCAAGGCCACACAGGGAAATAGAGGGACTTAATACTGTAAATGAGCTACAGCCTCAGTCACCTAATACATCTGCAGCAACTGTTTTGGCACCATGTAGTTGAGCCAACAAAGTTTTTATTTAACATCATTTGTATATATAACTTTTTTTAATGACCTACATAGATGCTACTATGCTATAGTGGCTCAATGTGGACTGGGGAAAGTTTCAGTTATAGAAGCTCTCTCTATATTTAAAAATCTTTGTTAGTCTTCTGTCTGCCAGTCTAGTGAAGCAGCCAATTTGGAAAAGCACCTTGTACGAATACTGCAGCAGTCTGAGCACTGCTGGCATCTTCCAACATTTAACAATGCATAAAATCTCCAGCTGCATAGCCAGCCCATCCACAACAGTGTTATGCAATATTTTTTCGCCTATATTCCGCAATACATTGAATTCCTGGGCAACAGTGAGCTCTGCCATGTTTATCTCCTGCAGTTTGGAAGGCAATTCCTTCCAGCTCATAAAAGCAACACTAATATTTATTCTGTTCCCTTACAGACATGTCTTTCAGAGACACCGTCCCTTTGGTCATCCAGAACACAGGAAAGGAAGGGAAGAGGACAGGTGGGAATTGGACTGAAGATTTTTTAGTTTTTATACTTTTACTCAAGAGCATATTTGTTGCTAAGTTAGCCCCAAACAATTGATTCAAAAAGTTATCTAATCTCAAGGTGACAGCAGATACATTTTGGACAGGTTTTGAGGATTTCCTCAGCAGTTTTTTTGGACAAATCTGGCCATATTGCTAATGATACTGTTAGTCTCCTGTCTTCATGGGGTTGCAACGTTAGTCAGAACCCTAAAGCCACCTGTGGAGCCACCTCTACTGTCTGACTAGATTTGAATCTACATCTTTGGAGTGAGTACTGCAATGTCTCTATGTCCTCTGAAGCTGTACTACGAGTGCTTAAGTATTCATTTCACACTGCTAGCACTACAAAAAAAATCCTTCCCTTACCAGAATAAGGTATCTGTGAGCCCTTTATTGCTGTCCCATGCCTTTTCCCAAGCCTAAAGGAAATTACATGGAGACAAGTCTCAACCCATCTCATAGCCACCTAAGGAGACAACCTGCCAACCTGAACGGCACCTGGAAAACAGCACAAGCTCGTTGATAGAAATTTGTATTTTAAGTGTTTAGTTCACATTATGAATGGCAGGTTTGAGTTCACATATACTCATCCTGAACTTTATGCTTATGATACGGAAACACACACCTTCAGATTTCATAACACTTAAGACTGGAAGACTAATTCTGATGATATTAAAAATACTTTGTGTTGTGGTGTGCCATACAGGTCAGTCACTCACTGTTCTTCACCCAAACACAGCTCATTTCTCTCCGCCCTGCCCTGCACTCCAATAGCCTTCATCTCATGGACTTCCCAGGTTAAGCCCACACAGCCAGCTGAGCTTCAGGAAGGGCGAATTGTCAAATATGCACAATGTAGACATTGCAAAAATATATTCCATATTTCACCAGATTTTGTATCCCAGTATTTGCTGTAACCATTCTCTCCAGTACAACAGGAAGAAACTCATCAGGGGATATTATACAAACAAATGGCATCCAGCAGCAGAAAAATAACCCAAATCATCTCATCAGATCAGCAATTTTGGAACTAATCAGCATATAGAAATACTCCTGGGGAACTTTGAGAGTCTCAACAAATCCAGAGTTTCCCAAGCTGCATTGCTCATAGGAAATATTTCTGGAGTGAGAAATTTAAATAGTTTCCAGAAAGCCTTGGATACTACCTGGTTATTTATATATCCACTGCTTAGACCTGTATGAACTAGTAACTGCAACATACAACAGACTATTCTTCTGCTGTTCTTAGTTCTGCTTTTACACAGTCATTCTGGAATTAAAAATGAAAAAATGAGATAAATATGGGACTCGAACCTTCCCTTATCAGATTTGCTAAGTTATAAGAGGATTCTGAAGCACAGCAGCACAGCTTTATGTGTGCAAGAGGATTTGCCCTGCTGAGCGTATCACCATTGTCATTCAAATCAACAACTGTTAGAGAACAAGTTGTCAACAATTACATATGAGAGTCACATTCCACACACAGACCTCAGCAGCTACAAGGTGATTGATCAGAATTAAGTCCTATGAGCTCAAAACAGAAGTTTTGCTCATGCTAACTTTATCAGAAGCACAGAACTGCTACCTGGCTATTGATCAGTGTTTTTTTTTCATATTAATTACATCTACATTCAGAATGGTAGGTATTGTCAAAGATAAAAATGGAGACAACTCAGTGGGAAATGGTCTCAAACACACCAACAGAAGAGCACTGAACAAAGCAAAGTCTTGCTGAGGAGTTCTTGACATAGCTGTCCTCATGGAGAGGCTAACAATCATACTGCATACTATACATTACATACTATACATACAGACAGAGCACCAATAGAATGGCCCCAGTAACACACACAATTACTTTTGACACCAGCAATAGGTTTCCTGGATTTCTTCCATGATTTACAACCAGAAAAAAAAAGTCTCTCTCACATTCAGACATGGAAAAAAAAAGAATCAATTTGCTCAAGCTTATTTGAACTGTGCTTAGCCACAAGCTGTCCTTTCTCATTACATCATCCCAGCTACTACCAGGCAGAACTTCAGCTGCTTTTGCACAGCAACTATAAGCCTTTCATTTTTCTACTATCATTTAAAATATTAATCATTTCCCTATTAAACAGCAAAGATAAAAGACTTCGGCCCTGTCTGTCAAGAAACTGAACCATACCCAGGAAAATTAAGTTGTGTTTGTGTTCCATTTAATTTTATTGCTTCCAAATGCTGCCATTTGCCAATAGGATGTACTTGAACAGGAAGATAAAACCCAGCACACGTTCCTGAATGTATAGAATGCATTTGAACATAATTAATTGATGAGAACTATAATTAATATGCAAATAAATCAAGTGTGAGCATCCCAAAAATGTATGAAGTAATACTAGACATGAATTGACTTCATACCCAGAGACATTTGTTCCATTTAAAGAAATGTTAGTCATGTGGTAGACTCGTGAGGGCCCAAACTGTCCCTGACAGTCCAGAGTGCAATGGCTTTCACAAGTAGCACGTGCAGGTGGGACTTATTTTACCACAGTAGCTTTATTATAAGTTGTTGAGAGTTCTATGTCAAATTGGGAATGAATTCTCCTGCCAATGACAAAAGCAAGAGTCCCTATTTAGTTTCTGCTCAGTACCGTGACCAGCATATGATTTGTGTATGTCTATACTGTGGACTGCACACTGGAAAAAGGATGCCAGAGTTAGTGGTAAATAAATCAGAGTACCAGAAAGCCTCTAGCTGAAGCAACTCCATGGTTAATTTTCACAGCTACAGTTCCAGGGCAGCCTGACTGCTGCCAGTCCTTCAGCAAGTTCTCACAAACCAGGGCACTGCTGCTTCCCAAGCACCACACTCTGCAATGGAAGCATCCCGACTGCATCCTTTGATCCGACTCCCCAGCAAGCTGCAGCAAAGGCATTAGGAGACAGGAACGGAATATGATAAAAAGAATGCCAATCCACCACAGTGTAACTTGATGCAGCCACATCTTACGTACAATGTAGGGTTTTACACACACACAAAAAAGGTACAATAGCGGTGGGAAAGGCTCACACCATATAATAGTTAAGGACTGGTAAATGAAACTTAGAAGTGGTATATTCAAAACAGAGAGTTGAAAGGTGCCTCACACAGCCTATAGTTAAATTACAGTACTTTGTGACACGGGATGTTGCAGGTATCAAAGTTTATGCAAGTTTACGGGGAGACTGCACAAGGTAATGGAAGAGAAATACCAAAAAGTTACCAAAACAAAGGACACATCTCTGCTTCAGAAGTCTGAGTTGCAAGTTATCAATAGTGTCTGCATGAAGTACTCTTCCATACTTGCCCTATTCAGGGATTTTTCCTGCAGGCAGCCAGTTCTGGTCACTGTTGTAATGACCAAGCTGTACCTGTAGTCCAAAGCTGTATAGCTGCTCTGATGTTCACATCCTTACAGTCACAGGGCAGACCATCATAGCATTAGTTAATGTTATGCTGAATAAAACTAATGTTAAATAACTGACCAGAGCTGCAGAAATGCATTGGTATGAGCTTTAACAGAGCTCATACCTGGAGTAAATTAGCGAGTGTCCAGAAAGACAGGAAAATTAGCCAGTGCTAAACTCAGTCCTGCTGTGACCAGATGGTTTCTGGCATCTCAGAAAAAGAAAAAAGTGGATTTCAGCCATAAATACGCTCAGTTTATTAAACATTGATCAGTAGGAAGCATTGTAAGTATCCAGCTTTGATATAGTAAAAGCACAGGACCCCCAACCCAGTATCGTTCATGAAGTGTATGCAAGAAATCAAAACATCATACGATGGGTGAGCAATTGGCTAACGGGCAGGGCCCAAAGGGTTATGGTGAATGGCGCTGCGTCAGGCTAGCGGGCGGTCACCAGTGGGGTCCCTCACGGCTCCATTTTAGGGCCGGTACTTTTCAATATTTTTATAAACGATCTGGATGTAGGAATAGAAGGTATTTTGAGCAAGTTTGCTGATGACACCAAACTTGGAGGAGTTGTGGACTCGAATGAGGGTGGAAAGGCCTTGCAGAGGGATCTGGATAGGTTGGAGAGCTGGGCAATCACCAACCGCATGAAGTTCAATAAGAGCAAGTGCCGGGTCCTGCACCTGGGACGGGGAAACCCTGGCTGCACGTACAGACTGGGCGATGAGACGCTGGAGAGCAGCCTAGAAGAGAGGGATCTGGGGGTCG